TGCTGGAATTACAGGCACCTGGCCTGATTCTTTTAAACTCTGGATTAGCAAAACATAGTATTGTTATTTGTGCAACTGAATCACACAGCCTTTCTGTGATTCAAAGTTTATTTAAAAATTAAATGGCCTTAGAAAGAAATTCCTGCGGATGGTCGATACATTTAAAACATTTGCCTAAGAGCCATTATTCAGGTTTACTTTTCATAAAGGAAGACTTACGGCCATGAATCACCTGCAGCAATTTTACTAAGTATTTTTAGTTTTCTGATTTTCAGTTGACTTCCACCAATGCAGATAGGAAATGTCTTTGGAGATGAAGTCACTTGCTGTTAGTTTTTATATGCTCAAGATTCTGGCTTTTACACTACTCTCCCCTTATCCATGGTTTTGCTTTTTGTGGTTTCAGTTACCCGTAGTCAACCGCAGTCTGAAAATATTAAGATATCTTAAGACGCAGAGAGAGAGAGAGAGGAGAGAAACCGCATTCACGTAAGTTTTATTCCAGCATATTGTTATAGTTCTTCTATATTATTATTAGTTATTGTTGTTAATCTTTTACTGTGCCTAATTTACAAATTAAAGTTTATCATAAGCATGTATATATGGGGAAAAAAACATAGTCTCTACAGGGTTAGGTACTATTTGCGGTTTTATGCATCCACTGGGGGCCCTGGAACAGATTTTCTGTGGATAAAAGGGCACTACTGTGGATAGTAAGGGAAAGTTAAAAAAACAAAAACAAACAAAAAAGTCCAAAACAAACAAACAAACAAAAAAGGCTGTGTATTCCTATGTAGTTGGGTAAAGAAGAATAATCTAAAATAGCACATTTGCTGCCAGGCACAGTGACTCAATGTCTGTAATCCTGGCACTTTGGGAGGCTGAGGCAGGTGCATCACCTGAGGTCAGGAGTTCGAGACCAGCCTGGCCAACATGGTGAAACCCCCTCTCTACTAAAAATACAAAAATTAGCCAGGTGTGGTGGATGGGTGCCTGTAATCCCAATTACTCAGGAGGCTGAGGCAAGGGAATTGCTTGAACCTGGAAGATGGAGGTTGCAGTGTGCAATTGCGCTCCAGCCTGGGTGACGTGAGTAAAACTCTGTCTCAAAAAGTAATAATAGTAAAATAAAATAGTATATTTGCTGCCTTCTGATAACTTGGAGTGTGAAGATACAGGAAAGTTGAAAAAACAAACCTGGCTTCAAAATCCAGAGCCCAAACACTTTTGGAAAAACATTTTCCATGCTTTTTAATAATTTTTAGCTATTCCGATTTGAGAAAATAATGTGATATTCCATAAAAGGGCTGTGCTGTGATCTCAGAATTATCTATTGTCAGAAATATATTGAATAAAGATTCCAGGAAAATGGCCAGGCATGGTGGCTCATGTCTGTAATCCCAGCACTTTGGGAGGCAGAGGAGGGCAGATCACTTTAGGTCAGGAGTTTGAGACCAGCCTGGCCAACACAGCAAAACCCCATCTCTACTAAAAATACAAAAATTAACCGAGTGTGGTGGCAGACACCTGTATCCCAGCTACTTGGAAGGCCGAGGCAGGAGAATCACTTGAACTCGGGAGGTGGAAGTTGCAGTGAGCCAAGATCAAGCCACTGTACTCCAGCCTGAGTGACAGAGCAAAACTCCATCTCAAAACAAAAAAGATTCCAGGAAAATGTTTAGCTCTTTTTTTTTTTAAATAACTTTTACCCTCTATTAATTATACATTTATGTTGTTCTTTTCTAGTGCTAATTCCACTTCTATTTATAATTTCTTTGCTTCTGCTTTATTTTTTATTTTCTTACTTTATTATATGCTTCCTTTGTGTAAGTTTCCTCAAACCCTTTGTGGATAAAGCTGGACTAAAACAAGCAAGCATCTAGATGTACCATATTAAATACATATTATGTACCAGGCACTGCAGGGAACTGAGGACTGAGAGGCAAAGAAGATGTGACTCACCCCAGCGAACTCCAAGTCTGATGGAAAAGACATAAAACAGAAGAAGGTAGCTGGGTGCGGTGGCTAATGCCTATAATCTCAGTACTTTGGGGGCCAAGGTGGGAGGATCCCTTGAGTCCAGGAGTTCAAAACCAGCCTGGACAACATAGGGAGACCCCTTTCTCTATAGAAAATAAAAAAAATAGTTGGGTGTGGCAACATGCACTTGTAGTCCCAACTACTCAGGAGGCTGAGGTAGGAGGTACACTTGAGCCCAGGAGTTTGAGGCTGCAGTGAGCTATGATCATACCGCTGCACCCCAGCCTGAGTGACAGAGTGAGACCCTGTCTCTTAAAAAAAAAAAAAAAAAAAAAAAAAAAAGGCCAAAAATCAGAAGAAGTGCATTATTAAGGTGAAACTTGAGGCGCTATGACAGTACCTAGAATTGACATCTTACCTGTATTGCTTGAGCAACAAGGAGGAACCACAGGACAGTCTTCTAGTTAGGAAGAGTACTGAAGGCTGAGTAGAAGTTGGCCAGGATTGGGAAAGGGTCAGGGAGGAGAGTGGGAGTGGGTTGGATTCGCAAGCTGAGAGCAGAGGCAGAAACCTGCTCAGAGACCTTGGGACGGGAGAAGATGTAAAGTCCAGGAAAGGGCAGGCGAGCGCACAGTGGGTTCACAGGGTACTATCAGACTCTATGTTCAGATTTGTTTTTTAAGGTTAGAAGACTCAGGGAGGGACGTGTTCCTGTCTGCATTTTAGACATAGGCTAAATGCTTCCTAAGGTGGACTGGAAAGCGGAGAGATTGCTGAGAAGCTTTTACTGGAATCCATCTGTGAGGTGATGGTGGTTCCTGCTAAGATCGTGACTGTGAGAGGGAAGGGGAAGAGATGAACCGAAGAGCTATTAAAGTGGTGGAATTTACAGGATTTAGAAACTGAGTGGGTGTGGGTGAGGCAGGAGTCTTGGATGAAATCTGAGTTTGTTTTGTTTTCTTGTTTGTTCATTTCTGAGATTGTGAACATGACTCACTACAGCCTTAAGCCCAGGCTCAAGTGATCCTTCTGCCTCCGCGTCCTGTGTAGCTGGGACCACAGGTGCGTGCCAACACCCCTGACTAATTTTTGAATTTTTTTTTCTAGAGACGAGGTCTCACTTTGTCACCCAAGCTGATCACGAACTCCTGGCTCAAGCAGTCCTCCCGCCTCAGCCTCCCAAAGTGGTGCTGGTATTACAGCATGAGCCACCATGCCTGGCCTTTTTTTTTTTTTTTTTTTTTAATTTAAATAGGAGCATTTGTAGATGTTGCATCAGAGAGAATGTGGAAAATGTAGACATGTCATGTAAATTACCAAGTGCTGGGCTTTTAATTATCCAATAAGGTTGCTATCTATTTTGTCATTGTCGGCTAAACTAGTCTAATTAATCTTAACAGAACTCTGTGTGAAGTGCTGTTCGTAGTCAATATTTGCCTTTCTCTAAGCAGATTCAGGTTGGAATTGCAGCCTTTCAGTCCAAGGGCAAGTTTCTTAACTTTTCTTGGCCTCACTTTCCTCATAGAATATCAAGCCAGCAATACATTCATGAGAATTTGAGATGAGAGATGTAAAGTGCTTTAAGCAACACATAGGGGCTTAGTCAATGAACACAAGGCATGATTGTTGGTTCCCAGCCTCCAAGTGAGGCCAAGGGACTCTTATCTATCTTTGTATCTCCCATAGACCTTACCTGCCTCACATAGCATCTTACACTTATTAACTGTTTAATACGTATTTATCAAATCCATAGTAACTTTTTATTTCATCTTATTGAGGCTGTTTGCCCTCCATTAAAAAGGTTTCCTGGGAGGAAGCAGTGGCTCACGCCTATAATCCCAGCACTTTGGGAGGTCGAGGCAGGCAGATCACTTGAGGTCAGGAGTTCAAGACCAGCCTGGCCAACAGAGTGAAACCCCATGTCTACTAAAAATACAAAAATGAGTTCGGTGTGGTGGTGGGTGCCTGTAATCCCAGCGACTTGGGAGGCTGAAGCAGGAGAGTCACTTGAATCCGGAAAGTGGAAGTTTCAGTGAGCCCAGATTGTGCCACTGCACTCTAGCCTGGGCGACAGAGCGAGGCTCCATCTCAAAAAAACAAAAAATAATTCTTATGGTTCTATTCTTTAAAAAGATTTTTTTCTGTGGTTCTATTTTTTTGGTTTATCTGTACTTAAAATGTATTGTTCTTGATTCTCTCTCTTTTTTTTTTTTTTTTTAACTTACAAATGATGACTCGCACTTCCTAATTTCTGATTAGGAAGTTCCCTTCATGACACCCCCGCCTCCATTTCCACTGCTAACCCCACACGTGAGTGTGTTCAAATGAGATCTTGTTCCTGGTCTGGCTTAAGTGTGATAAAAATTATTCAGGCCATGGAGCTTTTTCCAGAATTGTCACTGGGCTTCAAGACTTCCACCAAAGTCAAAATCAGTCAGCTATGGACTACCTCAAACAGCTTGAATTGAATTAAAATGAACCATAGTGCTAGAAAGGCGTGTAATTTGATCTGAAATATTGCGCAGGAACAATATCAAATCTCAGGCAAGACAGGCAATTAGCAACTTTGTGATAATAAAGAATCTGAAATAGCTCTTGACTTCATAACTCTTTGCCTGCCTGTGTGTTTTGGTTGGGGGATTCAAAATCTATATTTTACTATTTTACCTGTGACATTAGTATAAGCATCTGATGGATTTACACTAGTAGCATTGATCTTTTCCCATCTTACTACCTTTTATTGATTATAAATGTCATAAACATTAAAAACTGGAAAATACATTAAATTGTAATGAAAGAAAAAAAAAGATCTATCTTCACTCCTGCTCAAAGATAAGCTTAACATTTTAGTATCTCTGTCTGTTAAGGCCTACTTATATGTAGATACGTACACTCCATATAAATTTTTATCATACGTAAAATACTTAAACTAGTTTTGTGTTTTGCTTTCTCGGGTAATAAAAGCATTTTTCTTTATTTTCCTTATTTTTTTCTTTACATCAAAGAGCATACAGAATGTAAGAGCATTTTTCTATGTCATTAAATATTTTTTGCAAATATAATTGAACGGTTGCATAATGTTCCATCCTGTTTATATGTAAACATTCCTACGTTATAAGACATTTTGTTGCCATTCTATATAATGCCACAATGGACTCTTTGAGCATAAATCTTTTTTACACATGTCTAAATATTCCCTTAAGACAGATTCCCACCAGCGGAGTAACATTTTTAAGACTCAGGATACTTACTGCTAAATTACTTTTCAGACAAGTTGGGCAAATTTGTACTTTTGCCAGCGTTGTGGCTAGGAGGTTTTCATATCTCCACGCTCACTACAGTCTTCCTGTTTTCACAAACAAGTCAATGAATGGGCTGGATTTGTTGTAACCGTCTCTCAAGTGATGCTTTCTATGGGATTCCCACAATATCACTACTGCTAACTTTTAAGGACTAAGTTACCATTTTAAATGGAAAGATTTTTTTCTTGAATGTGAAGCTGGATATCTAGAAATAAAAAATTGCAATTGGTTATTTGGTGTTTCTTGCATTGCTGGTTATAAGTTCCTTAAATATTATACAGATACTATTTTTATTATTTAGCATTTATCCCATGATAAAACTGGAATCATGTATGCCTGATACGGATTGACTGTGTCTCCACCCACATCTCACCTTGAATTGTAATAATCCCTACGTGTCAAGGGTGGGGCCAGGTGGAGATAATTGAATCACGGGGTGGTTTCGCCCATACTGTTTTCCTGGTAGTGAATAAATCTCAGGAGCTCTGCTGGTTTTTTAAATGGGAGTTCCCCTGAGCAAGCTCTCTTGCCTGCTGCCATGTAAGTCATGGCTTTGTTCCTCATTCGCCTTCCGCCATGACTGTGAGACTTCCCCAGCCATATAGAATCGTGAGTCCATTAAACCTCTTTCCTTTATAAATTACCCAGTCTCAGTTATGTCTGTATCAGCAGCATGAGAACAGACTAATACAGTCCTTCTCCCCCACCATGTTTTGGGGCTTATCTGGGGATAGTAATTCCTAATAAATACTTTACTTCTTTGGTATTTGGACTTTTGGACAGCTTTTTGAAATTTGAACAGTTTTCTATCATGTTGTACCCTCTGGAATTTATGAAAGTAAAATACACTGTGCTTCAGGTTTAGTTTGTAGAAGTGAGAATTTTATGTACGTAGCTTCTATTCTCTTCATTTCTCACTAAGAAGTCAAAATTTAAACCAGACTTCCTGTTTGTCTGGACATAAAAGAAAAAGTAATTATTTGTAGAGTAATTTAATCTAGTGGGTCTTAGGGCATAGCTCTCCATATTATATGCCCAATTTCCTTGCAAACTTCAAAAAAGGAAAAAACTTGATTGGAATTTTAGAGTTAGAGCACATTGTACTTTATTCACTTTGGAATAAACCGTTTGGCTCTTTCATTCTTTAAGGTTTAAACTAGGTACTATACTTTCCTTCTCTCTATTCAGTTCAATTGAGTCTCACTGATGCAAACTAAACACTAGATACTGTATAACTATTGGGGATAAAGGAGACCTTCTGCTCACGCCACCTCTAGCCTGACGAAGCCCCTGATGAAGTCAAAGGAAGACAAATCCATGCCATGCTGGGATATACTGTGGAACCTCGTGATGTATTCATTATGAGTCCTCATCTCCACCACACCCCAGCTAGTAAGTTACTTAGATAAACCAAATCTATGCACAAATGAACTATTAAAAATTAGTTCTCCTAGCACTTGAACCCGGGAGGTTGTAGTGAGCTGAGATTGCGCCACTGCACTCCAGACTGGGCGACAGAGCAAGACTCTGTCTGGGGGGGGAAAAACATTAGCTCTCCTGTAAGCATTCCTGTGTCCTTAATATCAGTTTCTGTTCCTGCCTTGCATCTCCGCGTCTTTTTCTTTGTCTCTGGCCGAATGCTGTAAATGCTCATAAATATCAAGTAATATGATGCAAAGAGATTGCAAACTAAAACTGAATACCTTAAAGATGCGGTTTGTCATGAAGCTGCTGAAAGAGATACTGGAGAAATGCCAAAATACCTCTGAAGCCAAAGTCTGGCTGTGTGACTGTGGAGCATTTAAAAGCATCTCATGACTTGGTTTCCTCACTTGAAAACTGGAATAATACCGCCTGATTAACCACATAAGATTTGAAATAAAAAGCAAGTAAAATGATACCTAAAAGCACCACTTAAATAATGAAGTACCAGACCGGGCGCGGTGGCTCAGGCCTGTAATCCCAGCATTTTGGGAGGCCGAAGCGGGCAGATCACGAGGTCAGGAGTTCGAGACCAGCCTGGCCAACATAGTGAAACATCGTCTCTACTAAAAATACAAAAAAAATAGCCGGTTGTGGTGGCACGTGCCTGTAATCCCAGCTACTTGAGAGACTGAGGCAGGAAAATTGTTTGAATCCGGGAGTTAGACCCTTAACAGCCCAAGTACTTCAGAATAGAAGAAGTTGCATAACAACCAGTTAATAGAGGACCTTGGTAAAAAAAATGATAGTCTTCAAAAATATTTTTGCAGAACTTTTTTCATCACTGGGGTATAAAAGTCAGGAAAAGAATGTCGTCTCACATAATTTTGTCAGAAAAATGATCTTCCCTCCCCACCAAATCTAACACTCAGCTAATTCTTTGTTCTAACCATTAGGGCATATTTATAATGATGACTTATTTTGATTTTTTTAGCATAAAATCTTAAGCCCTTTAAAAATGACATATTATTCGGTGTTGGTCTCTATATTTTGATTATCTACTGCTATGTAACAAACCACCTACCCCTTCAGGGTGCTCTAACAGAATAACATAGCCTGGATGGCTTACAAAAAAACAGAAATTTGGCCAGGCGCGGTGGCTCATGACTGTAATCTCAGCACTTTGGGAGGCCAAGGCGGGTGGATCACGAGGTCAGGAGTTCGAGACCAGCCTGGCCAGCATGGTGAAACCCCGTCTATATTAAAAATACAAAAAATTATCTGGGCATGATGGCGTGCACATGTAATCCCAGCTACTCAGGAGGCTAAGGCAGGAGAATCGCTTGAACCCGGGAGGCAAAGGTTGCAGTGAGCTGAGATCACGCCACTGTACTCCAGCCTGGGTGACAAAGTGAGACTCCATCTCAAAAAAACAAAACAAAACAGAAATTTATTTCTCATCATTCTGGAGGCTGAGAAGTCTAAGATTGAAGCCCTGGCAGATCTGGTGTCTGGTGAGGGCCTGCATCCTGGTTTGCAGATGGTCATCTTGCTGTGTCTTCACATGGTGGAAGGAAGGAGGGAGCTCTTTGGGGTCTTTTTTATAAAGGGACTAATTCCATTTATGAAGCCTCTACCTTCATGAGTTGATCACCTCTCAAAGGCCCCACCTGCTAATACAGTTACCGGGGATTAGGATTTCAACATAGGAATTTTGGAGGGACACACACATTTATAGCCATCCCTAAGCCAGAGGTTGCGAACAACCACCATTTTATTGTCCCTCATCATTCTGTGGGTTGGTCAGACTCTGCTAGTTGCATTTAGCTGGGTCGGACATCATTTGGGATCTTGGCTGGACTAGAATGTCCAGGGTAACTCACTTACCTGCTACTTTCACATGGACAGCTACAAGGCTGAGATGAATGGGGGCCCTGGGATGGCTGGGGCCTCTCTCTTTCTCTCCGTATTGTCTCAAGGCCCCTTCTTCTCCATGTAGGAAGGTAGCCAGACTTCTTACATTGCAACTCAAGGTTTCCGAAGGTACAAAAGCAGAAGCTGCTTCCAATGATATGGGTCCCAAACTGGCTTGGCATCACCTTCTTCACATTCTGTTGGTTAAAGTGATTCACAGGCCAGCTCAGGTACAGGGTGGAAGGGGGCTACACAAGGATTTGAATATTGGAAAGTACTGAAGGTCATCATGGAGACTTAACCCACTGTAGGAAGCACATTCATTGAAAACGTCATTTCCAGTACTGCTTATCCATGGATAATGAGGACCCCCTGTAGCTGTAGTCACGTTGGTGCATCATTTCCAAAAACCTAATGAGTTGTAATGTCAATTGCAGCTGTCAATCTACTTTTAATAATCACAGGCCTCAAATGAAGAAATTCATTTACAGGATAAGCAAATTACAGCTTCAGTTTGGTTCATAAACTTCAGCCCCTTATTGCTTATTTTTTGAAAGAACAAATTTACGCTGATTTGTCCAAGGATACTCAGCAAATATTTGGAAAATAATTCAAAGTTTGATGTATAATCATAATCCTATCGCTTCTTGGCCTTTTGGCTAAGATCAAGTGTAGTGTCTGTTCTTATCAGTTTAATCATAATCCTGAACATTTGTATAGTATTTATTATTATTATTATTATTTTGACATGGAGTCTCACTCTGTTGCCCAGGCTGGAGTGTAATGGAACGGCCTCAGCTCACTGCAACCTCTGCCTCCGGGGTTCAAACGATTCTCCTGCCTCAGCCTCCTGAGTACCTGGGACGACAGACGCATGCCAGCATACCTGGCTGATTTTTGTATTTTTAGTAGAGACAGGATTTCACTGTGTTGGCCAGACTGGTCTCAAACTCCTGACCTCATGATCCGCCCGCTTCAGCCTCCCCAAGTGCTGGGATTACAGGCCTGAACCACCACGCCCGGTCTGGTACTTTATTATTTAAGTGGTGCTTTTAGGTATCATTTTACTTTACTTGCTTTTTATTTCAAATCTTATGTGGTTAATCAGGCAGGTATTATTCCGGTTTTCAAGTGAGGAAACTAAATCATGAGAAGCTTTTAAATGCTGCACAGTCACACAGCCAGAAAACATTGGAGCCAGGATGCCAAGTTTGGGTTCTTTTTTTTTTTTTTAAGACAGGGTTTTACTTTGTTGCCCAGGTTGGAGTGCAGTGGTGTGATCGAGGCTCACTGCAGCCTCAGCCTCAACCTCGCAGGCTCAAGGGATCTTCCCACCTCAGCCTCCAGAGTAGCTTGGACCACAAGAGTGCCCCACCATGCCCAGCTAATTTTGTGGAAACAAGGTGTTACTATGTTGCCCAGGCTGGTCTCAGACTCCTAGACTCAAGCAATTGTCCCACCTCAGCCTCTCAAAGTCCTGGAATTACAGGCTTGAGCTGCTGTGCCTGGCATTGGGGTTTTCTTAAAACCAGCCCTCCGTCCCAGAGTTCTCTCTCTCTCTCTTATTTTTTTTTTTGATACAGGGTCTCATTCTGTCATCCAGATTGAAGTGTAGTGGTGTGATTTTGGCTCACTGCGGCCTCTGTCTGCCAGGCTCAAGCAATCCTCCCATCTCAGCCTCTCAAGTAGCTGGGACTATAGGCACACAGCACCATGCCTGTCTAATTTTTTTGTTTTTAGTAGAGATGGGCTTGCCATGTTGCACAGGCTGGTATCAAACTCCTGAGCTCAAGCAATCCTTGATTGCCTTGGCCTCCCAGAGTGCTGGGATTACAGGCATGTGCTACCATGCTGGGCCTGGAGTTCTCTTTTAAACTTTGAAGGATGTGAAATGGAAATTCATTCTGTCTTTATAGATAGATAGATAGATAGATAGATAGATAGATAGATAGAGAGAGAGATAGAGAGATGTCCGTCTGCACATGCATATAAAATATACATTTTATTTTATTTTTTATTAGAGATGGGGTTTCACCATGTTGGCCAGGCTAGTCTTGAACTCCTGACCTCAAATGATCTACCCATCTCGGCTTCCCAAAGTGCTGGGACTACAGGCATGAGCTACTGTGCCCAGCCTAAAATATACATTTAAAAATCCATTCTGAAAGTATAGCTTTCATTGTTAGTTAATGATCTATAGACGGTCAATAATACCCATTTCAAGTTAAAGGAATCACAGACGCATGGATGCCATCTGGAATTTACCTGGTCAACCCCTTCATTTCACAGACGGGAAAAACGTGTGTGGAGTGGTTAACTAAGTTGCCCAAACCCACACAGCTATTTAGTGAAGAGCCATGGATTCTTGCCTCTGAACCCATCATTTTACCAGCTAGACCACAGCACCTCAACAATAGCCTTCCGGATGAAACTGTGAGAGGAATATAGATATTTTCCATGTTTAAAACATCTGTCTATGGTTTGCCAGGACTTAAAAGTAATACAAATTTTAAGCACTTTACTGATCAAATACAGCTAAGAACCAGTTGTGCAACTGGCTCGAAGTATTGCTATTTCTGGGAGGCAAGCTATGACTGGGGTTCCATGGGACAGAAAATCCCCTCTAGAAAAAGCACAGGACGGGCTTCAACATGGACAGTTCTTTATGAAGAAAAGCAAGTGATAACCGTTGTATTCCAGTAGCTTGGTGTATGTTTCACTGTCAGGAATATGTGTTGCTAGCAAAATCAAGAATTTTACATCAAACATTCTCAAGGCATTGAGTGTGGAACCTTCTGAGAATGAAAAGGGCAGAGATGAGATCTCCGTTTTTCAAATTAAGTAAAATTTAAAGGTCAGTTATTCCGACAGTGTCTTGACAATAATATTGCACTTGTCCCAACTCTAGGATGTTACTATAGTGAGTAATGTTGCATCTCGATCTGGGTTGAAATACTCTTTTCTTCCTCCCTCTCCCTTTTCCTCCCACATTTCCTTTTTTTTTTTTTTTCTTCTGGAGTCAGAGTTTTGCTCTTGTTGCTCAGGCTAGAGTGCAATGGCACGATTTCGGCTTGCTGCAACCTCTGCCTCCCGGGTTGAAGTGATTCTCCTGCCTCAGCCTCACGAGTAGCTGGGATTACAGGCGCCTGCCACCGCAGCTGACTAATTTTTGTATTTTTAGTAGAGATGGGGTTTTACTCTGTTGGCCAGGCTGGTCTTGAACTCCTGACCTCAGATGATTTGCCTGCCTCAGCCTCCCAAAGTGCTGGGATTACAGGCGTGAGCCACCGTGCCCAGCCCCATTTTAAACAAACAAAAAAAACCCATGTTTTCAGTTGGCCACTAAACAGAGAAATTTGGGAAGCCAGTGGTACTAGTTACAAGTTTGTAGACCGCAGTCTACACAAAGGCCATCTACTCAACCCTGGTGACTTGAGGTTGACTGACCCATGTTAAATTGAAGAGTTAAGCCACAAGCTGATTTTTTCATTCAAGGAGCCCGATGTATTTCCTGGGTTTTTGAATGGCTTCAATGGCTTTACTTACCGGTTTAAGATGAATGGCTCATATCAAGGAATGCAGGATGGCGAAAGCCTGAGCTGACACAGAGGAGGGGACTTTTCCCAGGCTGACCTCTCTGCAAAGGCCTTTTCCCAGCTCTGTCACTTGCTGGGTGCATCACTGCCATAGTCCTTGTAATTGTTTAGAATTTGTAAATTTCCTCACGTTTTCTTCTTACATTCTTAGTCAATTTGAAAAAAAAAAAAAAAAAAAAAAGGTTGGGAATGAAACCCAACATTTTCCTCCAACGACAAGCTTCTCATTTGTATCGCTGAGCAGTTTTGCTTTATTTATGTCACAGTTTAAAGAACTTGCTGTGTCCCGTTATTGCTTCGTATCCTGAAGTGGTGGGATTTCTTTCTCTTCATTCAGGCATGGTTATTGATTCTTTTGACAGTGTTTAATATTAAAAGTTATAAATCCACATGCAGTAGGGCCATTACGCCATAAATATCTGAGAAAGTAGAAGCGTGGTGACGGTGTCCAAGGAGGAACTCCTGGTGTCACTATTGGTCAGCGTCCAGGCCCAGGCGGCTTCAAAGAAGACATGTCGCAGGTCTGAACCTGTATGCACAATGGAAGTATTCAAACAAGCTTTAAAAAAAAAAAAAAAAAAAAAAAGGATGCATTTAAAAAATATTTTTGTCACAAATCAAATGTCAGTGTTAAGTGCAGTGTTTCTAGAGTGCAGCCACGCTCTGTGATATAACACTTCAAAAAATAGAACTGCTCATCTATTTGGGCCAGACAGCACTTTTTTCTTAGAAGTCCATTTATTTGGAGGATACTTTTATAGTACCAGCAAGTCCAGTTAGAAAGTTCCATCTGCTCTGCCTCCTATTGCTTCTGGTTTCTTGCCATCTCCACTGGTGTCATCTCAGACAAGACACTACCTGATTTTTTTCTGGATAATAGCGACATCCTATGGGACTCCCTGCAGGTACAGCGGGTCCCCTCTCTTCCTCCATTCGTATATGGCTGCCAGGCTCTTCACTTCATATTGTCTGCATAAATCCCTGAAATGCCTTGCCCCCTTTTTTTTTGTCAGTTAGGGTTTGTTCAGAGCCACAAAACTATTCGGTTGGTGTAAAATTAATTGCAGTTTTTACCATTACTTTCAATGGCAAAGACTGTGATTACATTAGCACCAACCTAATACTGTGAGTAAAATGAAACAAAGGATGTATGATAAGAATGAGACCTTTTGTGGTTGGGGGAGGAGTTGAGAAAGGCAACTGAAAACTGATCCACCAAAACTCAATTTTCTTATTTGACTATTGCCTTTTTTTTTTTTTTTTTTTTTTTGGAGGGGGATGGGGTCTCGCTCTGTTGTCCAGGTTAGAGTGCAGTGGCACAATCTTGGCTCACTGCAACCTCCACCTCCCAGGTTGAAACAATTCTCCTGCCTCAGCCTCCCGAGTAGCTGTGATGACAGGCGCGTGCCACCATGCCTGGCTAATTGTTGTATTTTTTTATGGAGACAGGGTTTCACCATGCTGGCCAGGCTGGTCTCAAACTCCTGGCCTCAAGTGATCTGCCAGCCTCGACCTCCCAAAGTGTTCGGATTGCAGGCATGAGCCACTGTGCCTGACCTAATTTGACCATTGCATTTAAAATTGTTAGACAAGTACCTTCAGCCAGGTTGAGGGCTGAGTATAACAGAGTTGGGGTGGGAGAAGAGCCTATGTTTATGAAATAAGGATGGTGTATTGCAGTGAAGAGAAGCTCTCCTCATTCACAGGTAAAATAGAGTTCTGGAAAGTCCTACCCTCTGAAATTCAAAATGCCACTGAAAAATATATTCAATCTACATAGACAGAATCATCTTAAGTATAATGGCAAGGGTGAAATAGCTGTGAGGAACTCTCAGTGAAACTAAACTAAAATTGCCCCCAAACTACCGTCTTGCACACCAAATCTTCAACAATTAGGTGAATTGTCTAAATATTTTATGGAAATTGATTCATGCATAGATTTTTAAAATGTGCATAAAATTTTACACATACATATTTTAAGTAAGACAAATTCTATTTATCATTTCTGGCTTTCAGCTGTGCTGGAGGACTGTCCTCTGATTCTCTTCTCTTGTCCCTTTTTTTTTTTTTTTGTCTTTAAAGTCTTCTGTTCTTTTGCAGTTCTAGATCCATCAGAATTAGAAAGGTTGTTCCCCTTAGCTAGGCTGTAATAGTAATTGCAGTCTATCCTCAGTCTCTCAGATTGTTCAGATTTCACATTTGAAGTGCAACAGAACTTTTGACCCATGTGTTTATAGCTCTAGCTACCCACTTTCTCACTAGCTTCTGTGCCGGTGTATGTGACGCTTAAGCTTCTCAGGCATGCTCTGGAAAATGCCAGAAGCCTGCTTTGTTTATTGGTAGTCACTCTGTTTGCACCATTGGGTATAGCTGCTCTCATCGTTCCTTACCTTCCTGCTTGTTCTGTGAACTCTCTTCTCTATGGGGGAAGGCCGTGAATAGCCCCTTGCCTGCATGTTGAGAAGAAGCAACTTCCAGGCTGAATGCAGACAGAAAAGGGTTCCCTCACTGCACAGGAAGCATATATTTGAGATACACACTCCACCCCACTCAAAGACATTCTAGCTTAGAGCAATGTTGGCTACAGTTTGTTCTTTAATCGTTGCTTATCCTTTGAGTGGAGGTTACATTGTGTGTGATCATAGGAAGTGCCAGCCAGTTCTGCCTGAGAGCATTAGAGGAATTTCCCAGAAGGCATGACATTTCTTAAGTGATTTTCTTTTTTTTTTTTTTTTTTTCAGAAAGACTCACAGCTTGTGAGCTTGAAACGTACCAACATTGCTCTTTCAAATATACATCAATTAAATATGCAGTTTGATACTTTTCTAGCAAAAGTGACAGCATTTTATCAATTTAGCTCAGTTTCTGCCCCTCTGTAACTCTCTGGAACATGTCTGTAAGATGGTCAGCCAGAAGGAAAGAAACGGCAAATTAACCCATATGGAAGCTTGCATCTATTATTAATGGTACTGCAATTTCATCAACGGAAGGTATGAACTGCATACTCCTTGTTCTCAGTAGCAGGGAATAAGACATTGAACAGTAAATTCCTATCCATCATTAATGGAAAATATTGCCCTGTATAGTGCCTGGCAGCTGTATGGTGATTCTCTGAACAGACACTGGCTGCTTTTCTCCTAGCCACTGTTTGAATTGCCTAGCTGATAGAAGCTTGGCTTCCAGAAGGGCACTATCAAGCAAAATCAATGGCCATGTTAGCCACAGTCCTAAGTTCTGTCCAAAAGTCTAAATCCATCATTTATGCCTTATGAGCCAATATATCTGAAACACCTGAGTTCCAGGTAATTGCAGTGGCTTGCTATAAATTGGCTTACAATTCTGTCACCCTGTGACCTCTGATGTTGTTTTCACCTTGTCTTACGTGTGTACTATACCCTTCACAGATTTTCCCGTTGTTCCCCCAAATCACCTCCCCTCTCATCAGCCACTTCCTCTGAAAAGAAATAACCTAGGAAATACATGAATAGTTCCTAGAATTCGCAGAACAAAGCTACTATTTGTTGAATATGGGCTGTGCGCCAAACGCGTTTACGGGTATTTTTACCTGTGGTACCTAATTTATTTTGATGACAGTCTGTGAAATGTGCTTGGTTATTTTAATTCACAGATGACAGAAATGGAAGTCAAAGAAGGCTTTTAAGGGATATGGGGGAAATGATGACGTCAGAACGTCGTTTGAAGGAACGGTTTGAGGGCTTAGAAACACGTGATGCTCCTTTTCTTCAGTTCCCAGAGTATGGGACTCAAGCCCTGACTTTGCTCTTGGCCACGCAGGAGTTTGCCCTCACTATTTTCAGTAGCTCTTGTTCCTTTATAAACCCTTCATTTAGGAAATGTACTTAAAAAAAATTTTTTTTGAGACATAATCTTGCTCTGTTTCCCAGACTGGAGTGTAGTGGCACGATCTTGGCTCAATGCAACCTCCGCCTCCTGGGTTCAAGCAATTCTTCTGCCTCAGCCTCCCAAGTAGCTAGGATTACAGGCACGCTCCACCATGCTCAGCAAATTTTCGCACTTTTAGTAGAGACAGGGTTTCACCATATTGGCCAGGCTGGTCTCAAACTCCTGGCCTTATGTGATCCTCCCACCTCAGCCTCCCAAAGTGCTGGGATTATAGGCATGAGCCACTGCACCTGGCCATTTAATTTTTAATTTAAACAAATTTTTAAAAAGGAAATGTACTTTTAAAGGAAAGCACTGGAATTGGGGTTCTTGGTGTCACTGATAGACATTGGTGAACACTTAATTTGTGCTACAAATGAAAGCAAATCGAGGATAGCGAGGGCTTTGCTCTTTTTAGAGATAGCCGATTTCAATTTCAATGAATCACAATCGCTTTCATGATGGCTGAGAATCTTTGCTTTTCAGTATTTTTGAAGTGTGTTTCTGTGTGCCCTAGACAATCAAGCATTCAAAGTGAAGAGGTTCATTTATTTTTGTTATTTCATTATTCAACCTAAGTGTGCTCCTCGGTTGTTTTGGGGAGGGCCATATTCTATGAAGTCATGTGAGTCAGAGATCTTGTCTTTTGTATCTTTATGGCTGTAATTTCTGGCACATAATGGACCTTCAGCAGGAATTTGTTTGCTTGGGTAGTGGATGAACAGTAGAAAGATGAGTTGTGGCCAGGCGCGGTGGCTCACACCTGTAATCTAAGCACTTTGGGAGGCCGTGGCAGGCAGAGCACCTGAGGTCAGGAGTTCAAGACCAGCCTGGCCAACATAGGGAAACCCCGTCTCTACTAAAAATACAGAAATTAGCCAGGCTTGGTGGCACATGCCTGTAGTCCCAGCTACTCGGGAGGCTAAGGCAGGAGAATCCCTTGAACCTGGGAGGCGGAGGTGGAGGTTGTAGTGAGCTGATATCGCACCACTGCACTCCAACCTGGGCAACAGAGCAGGACAATCTCTCAAAAAGAAAAAAAAAAAAAAGGAGGAAAGATCAGTTGCTTCAGGATATTTAATTTAGCTAAAAAGTGACAAATGAAACAGTACTGATACATGGTTAGTTTGGATGTAAGTTATTGATTCTGAATAATTTTTTAAAATTACAATTACTGTTGATTTAGCCAAGAATGCACAGCTATGACTAAGAGATACAATTAAGTTAAAGAAAAATGAACTAAATATCAAAGAATAATTCCAGTAGATAAGGTTAGGACTCACTCAGGCAGAGGACTCCCAGTGGAAGGGGTGGGAGGCAGTGAACACCACACATGTCACTTAGATCTGCAGTGGGGATAGATGCTGACGTCGGCAGGATCGTAAGTGAGATTGCATCTCTAGTTTTATTGATTTGCCTTCTTACATGGGTATATGTTCACAGCCTCCCACCCCTTACGGACAAGAGTTTATGTGTGTGTTAAATTTTCTGATTGTAGTTGTTTGTTTGTTTTTAGAAAAAAAAATCCTCCTTTTAGAACATTTCTTGGTGGTACCATCAGAAATGTCCTCCTTAAGTGGAAAAGTCCAAACAGTTTTGGGCCTTGTAGAGCCAAGCAAACTGGGCCGCACCCTGACCCATGAACACTTGGCCATGACCTTTGACTGCTGTTACTGTCCACCTCCCCCGTGCCAGGAAGCTATTGCCAAAGAACCGATCATGATGAAAAATTTATATTGGATTCAGAAAAACGCCTATTCCCATAAAGAAAACCTTCAGTTGAATCAGGAGACAGAAGCCATAAAGGAAGAACTGTTATATTTTAAAGCTAATGGTGGAGGGGCTTTGGTGGAAAACACAACCACTGGGATTAGCCGAGACACACAGACGTTGAAGAGGCTTGCAGAAGAGACTGGCGTCCATATCATATCCGGAGCCGGGTTTTATGTGGATGCAACTCACTCCTCAGAGACCAGAGCCATGTCAGTGGAGCAGGTAAAAAACCTAAGTTCTTTGACAATATTTGTTCATAAATTCAGAACAGCCAGAACCTTGGAAATGCCCTGGGTTCAGAGGTAGCTGGGCATGCTACAGAAATTTGGTAGCTAGCCAAGACATCTGCCAATTGGGACCCCAATTAGTAATACTGTATTTCATAAAGAAAGTGCCAATTTTGCAAGCAAGCCTTGTGGTAAAGAAAAAAGAAAATAATAATAATAAGTGTCAAGAAAAGAGATCTCAATGCACTGGTCGTTGGAAAATCCAACATGGTAATAGTTAGATTTGTGTATATCGTATCTGTCCTCAGTATTGGCACCACAGTCTATTTGTAAACCTCACTTTTCCATCTTCAGTTATGCTACCTCGATTTCTTTCACCCAGGATTTTATAATAACCAGCAATGAAGATTCACTGTAGGGTGAAACTTGGCAGGCAGAGACTTGGCACATTTGTGAGTATGTTTCACTCTCCTTTCACAAAACAGGAGAGGTGGAAGAAAATTCATTTCCCTGTGTTTTGACATAATATGGTCTTAAACAAGAATGGGTAGAAGGAAGTAAATTGTTTAGGGATAAAAAGAATAAGCTGCAAAACTTTTTTTTGCACCTGTATGTGTTCTCTGTCTAAACACACATGTATCTATTTATACATATTTACACATATATGTATATATTCATATGTATCTTCTATTACCTGCATGACAAGCATAGGGTGTCAGCTCAGTCTTTGCAAAAGATCGCTTACTCTCTAGAATATTTTGTATTTCAAAATTTTATCCGCATTATTTTCCAACCAGGACTTTATTTTTTTAAATATATTTATGTTATTTAAAGACTATGCTGATGATGAGTATTATACATTCTTCCAACCACTCTTCGTGGTAACTATGCATATGAACCAAAAAGTGCCATAGTAGTATAGTGTGCTGTGAATTTTCTATGCTGTCTATGATAAAAGACTGAATGAATAGGAGAGAATTAAAGCATTTCTTGAAGCCTTGTGCGGTGATGCGAGCCTGTAGTCCTAGCTACTTGGAAGCCTGAGATGGGAGGATCCCTTGATCTCAGGAGCTCAAGTCCAGCCTGAGTAACATGGTGAGACCTCTGCCTCTTTAAAAAAAAAAAAAAAAGAAGAAGAAGAAAGAAAAAGAATGACTTGATACATGGGACATAGATTCGATTCATTGGCGGTCTTTCTATATTCAAGATGCTGCTCCCCAGGTTCAGTTATAGATTTCCTTCACTCTCAATGTACTCTCATTAAGTCACTTTGTCCCCCTCCAGCTTCCTAAAGCTATACGTTTCTTGTTAAATAATCACAGTGTAATATTGTCTAATCCTGGATTTAGTGTAACTTGTTGATTTGTGATTTGGCCAGCAAAATGCTTTTTTCATTGATTGATAACTATTGAATACATTTTTAAAAGAATGAATGACTAAATAAATAAATTCATTCACATACTATGGTGGATCGATTTTGATAAATTTCACAACCTATAAAATATGTTCCTTCTCACTCTTCCTTAGCTTACAGATGTCCTTATGAATGAAATTCTCCATGGAGCTGATGGAACCAGTATTAAGTGTGGCGTTATTGGAGAAATTGGTTGTTCCTGGCCTTTGACTGAGAGTGAAAAAAAGGTTCTCCAGGCCACAGCTCATGCCCAGGCTCAGCTTGGTTGTCCTGTTATTATCCATCCTGGACGGAGCTCCAGGGCACCATTTCAGATTATCCGAATATTGCAAGAAGCAGGTGCAGACATCTCTAAAACAGTCATGTCACATCTGGATAGGTAAGCAGGCTATCTTACAAATGGATGCAAACTACCATATAATTAATACATGATCAAATTAAGAATCTACAGTAATCAGTCAATGTAATACTAATCACGTAGAGAAAACCACTAACTATATGGAAGCTAATATTTATAAAGTTTTACAACTGACATTAATAGAAGTCAGTGCTGCCATTTTTGTGTCTCTCTGTGTCAGATAGTATCCTAGGTATTTTGCCTAAGGTATTTTGCATAAGTCATTTTGTTTAATTTATTCAATCCTTTATAACTCATAATAGGTGTCACCGTCTCCTTCATTTCTTTGTCTCATGGGATGATATCAAAGTAGCTGCCAATTCCACTTGCTCAGTGTTTACTAGTGGTTGGAGTAATAAAGTTGTCACAACTATAAAGGGAGGGAAAGTCAATGATTTCACCCAGAGAAGAAAACCACAAATACAAATGTTCATATTTGTGTCACTTGTGGTTTGAATCACCTGAATTTTGGAAAATGCAATTATAAAAAATAATAGTAATAAGCATAGCATGTGTTGGGTGGTATTATGTATTAGTTTCCTATTGCTGTTGTAACAAATTATAACAAACTGGGTGCCCCTAAACAACAGAAATTTAGTCTCTCAAAGTTCTGGAGGCCAGAAGTATGAAATGAAACATTGTCGGGGCCGTGCTTCCTCCAAAGGCTGCAGGGAGAATCTTTCCTTGCTTCTTCAATAGCCTGAGATGCAGCTGTTCCATGGTTCGTGGCTGCATAACTACAGCTTTTGCCTCTGTCTTCGCATAGCCTTTTCCTCACTGTCTATGTCTTCTCCTCTGTTTGTTACGACAACAGTTGCCATTGGATTTATGGCCCATCCGGATAATCCAGAATGATCTCATCTCAGATCATTTACTTAATTATATCTGCAAAGACCTTTTCCCCAAATAATGTCACTTTCAGAGGTTCCGAGAGTTAGAATCTTGTTGGAGTTCACCATTTAATCCCTACATATTATTTTAGATGCATAGGGGACAGTAAAGCAAATGACTAAATGAAGAAATGCCAGCTGCTGTTAATTTTATGAACAAGTCTAACAGGGTTGCTAAGGCTACTCATTAGCCTTAAATTGAATTTATTACAGAATTAATACAGCACCAGTGAGACTAAAAATATATTACAGGTACTTCTATCTTGCCTATTGGAGTAAAGCCATATTCACATATTGATAAATCCTGATTATCAGACCGGACACATTGCTACTTAATAAACTAACAGTCCTACAAAATGTATTGATAAAATGCCTCTCCTTATGAGGCTGCAGTGAACCATGATCACACCACTACATTCCAGCCTAGGCAACAGAGCAAGACCCTGTTTCAAGGAAAAAAAAAAAAAATTCTTCTACTTAATAAAAGCTATTGTAAAATCATGTACAGGAAATATAAACAAGTGTAGTTATAGCAGAACAGAGAAGTCAGCATTAATGGGGAAACTGAGGCACAATAGGATAAAGGCAATTCTCCTGGCAACCGGGTTGTTATCAAGATCCATACTTGGCTATCTTCAGGAATCTTCTGGTTGCACTGATAAGATAAAGGCGGGCTTCTGTAATGGTCACAGGGGCAATGCGTCAGGCTGTGAAAACTAGACTCTTTGGACCCAGTGAGAACTTTAAATTCTGACTCTCGTTGGTGTAAGATCTTAGACAGCTTAATTGAATTTAAAACAATGTATTTTATAATGTTGCCTTGTATGATATGGGATATATGTGGCACATTTATTCAGTAAGGATGATACTTTTTAAACATTGTGAAGTATGTCATACCTTCAAAAATGTATTATGCTAATAATTTTAAATTTTATAAAATGTTTTAGATTCTTAAAAGCATTGCGTTCTGCAGTTATTACACAGTATAAGTGTTTTATGTGTCTATTAGAACATAATTGTTTATCATGTTCAAATATTCTGCATTTCTACTAATTTAAATATGTGTGTGTGTGTGTGTGTGTGTGTGTGTGTGTATATGGAGAGAGAGAGAGAGAGAGAATGAGAGTCTCTCTCTCTGTTGCCCAGGCTGGAGTGCAGTGGCATGATTTTGGCTCACTGCAGCCTCCATCTCCCAAGTTCAAGTGATCCTCCCACCTCAGCCTCCCAAGAAGCTGGGACTACAGGCATGTGCCTCCACACCTGGCTAATTTTTATATTTTTTATAGAGATGGGTTCTTTCCCTGTTGCCCAGGCTGGTCTCAAACTCCTGAGCTCAAGCAAGTCACTCACCTTGGCCTCCCAAAGTTCTGGGACTATAGGCATGAGCCATTGTACCTGGTCACAAATTTCTTTTAATTGCATGCTTGGCATTCCTTGGGATTCCTGAACGTAAGGATGTATCTTTCATTGTTTCTGAAAAGCCTCGGCCATTATCTCTTTAAATATTGTTTCACTCACATGTTGTTTATCATCTGTATCACAAACTCCAGTTTGGTATATGTAGGGCTTTCTTACCTGTACTCTGTATCTCTTAACATCTGTTTGATATTTCCATCCACATGCATCACTGAGCTGTAATGTCTTCAGTTCGATCTTCTTATTTACTACTTCTCTTTCCAACAGAATCAATCTGTTGCTTAGCCAATTTATTTGCTTTATAATATTGAGAACTGTATAGTTTTTTCTGTTACCTACTAAGTTCTGGTTGGTTACTTTTCAAATCTGCTTGGTTAATTTTGATAATTTATTTTCCTTTCAACATGGTTTCAATTCAACCTTTAAAAAAATATTAAACATACAATATATAACTTGTAATTGATAAATCTAATTTCTGCTGCCTTTTTTTACTCTGATGTAGTTTACTAGTTCTTCTGGCTGTCATTGGTATGAGGTTATTTCCTTATGTTTTAGAGTAGAATTTTTTGTTGTGAGATCAGACTTCTTAGAAATTATTATGAATGTTAAGTTGGTTTCTCCTTACCCCTGTTTTTTTTTTTTTTTTTTTTTTGGTTATTTATTTTTTATTTCTGGTAGGCAGTTGTGGCACTACCTATATGGGAAACTTTATACTACATTTTTTAATTGTGGTAAAATGTGCATAACATAAAATGTATCATCTTTTAAACATTTTGAAATGTACAGTTCAGTAATGTTTAGTGTATTCACTCCCCATGGCCTGTGACAAACGCCATTCTACTTTCTGTCTCTGTGAATTTGACTACTCTAGGTACCTCTTGTAGACGGAATCACATAACGCTTTTTGGGACTGTTTAAACTAAATTTTAGACTTGAGAGACTTAGACCCACACAGGTGCTATGAATTCTGACCCCTCAGCTCGGCAAGTGCAGGAGTGGGGCTATGGATTCTCAAGGGAGACTTTTTCTCAACTTACCTTCCTTTCACTAGAAGCCAAAACTGAGAAAGATATATACAGATACCCCTTGACTTATAATGGGTTATGTTCCAATAAAGCCATGGTAAGTCAAAAATATTGTAAGCTGAAAGTGCATTTAATATACCTAACCTACTGAACACCACAGCTTAATGTAGCCTAGCTTAAACATGCTCAGAACACTTATATTAGCCTACAGTTCTGCAGAATCATCTAACGCAAAGACTATTTTGTAATAAGGTGTTGAACAGCTCATGTAATTTATTGAATACTGTACTGAAAGTAGAAAACAGAATGTTTCTCTGGGTACTTGAAGTACGGTTTCTAGTGAATGTGTATTGCATTCACGCCATTGTAAAGTCCAAAAAGCATTAAGGCAAACTAACCAGGGACCATCTGTAATCTCCAAAAACTGTTTGTGAACCAAGTTTTTACCTACTTCATCCTCAAGGGTGTGTTGCCTTCCATATAAAGGGAGTAGCCCTTTATATGTCTCCAGTCTGATCTCCCACTTGATTCAAGTCCAAGCTCTGTCTTACTTGGCTCATTAATACCTTTTAGGCAAATGCTAGCTCTAGGTCTCTCCTTATTCCTCATTTTTTCAGTTCTCTTGTTGTCTCTGTCCCCTGAGCAAGTAAGTGTTACTTTCCCACCAGCTAAACCAAGCATTTCAAAATAGGGTGTTTTTTTTTTTCCCTCTCTTCAATATAATGTAGTATTTTACATGCATTCTGCTGGAAAGGTTTTCTGTGAACATCTAGTCTGCCATACTGCTTGAAACTGGCTCAAGATGATTCGTAAAGAAGAATCTTTCTATCTCCATCTATTTACAGTTAGACATGTATGTAAGTTAGAAAATTATGCTTGGCACAAATAGAAAACAAGCTTTCATTGGAAAATGTGAAATAAACCTTTGCTTCTACCACAGTAGTATTTCTCTGCTCATAAAATCAAACAATATATAAATTGCAAATGTTTTCTTTATTGCCTAGTGATATACATATATGTATACACTACACCTATATATACACATATGTATATATTTATATATATACACACACATATGTATTTTTTTTCTGTTAAACAATAAAGATACATTACCAGATTTCCATTTGGCTGCAGTTTCAGTATATCTCTCTAGAATGACTCAGAACAGAATGGAAAGGTTGACCTGACATCAGACAAACTCAGAACATTCTAGAAAATTCTGAGACCATCGCTAGAGCAGCCATCCATTCCGTAACTATCTGATGGATTATTCAGGGTTCCAGTGCATGAAAAAGACATACATGAAAGTATGAGCAGTTTGGTAGGGAGGCAGCTAGGGAACATGACTTTAGAAGAAGCAGTGCATTTGGAAAAACATACCGAATAAAGTAACAGAAAAAAATAATCAGGGAGGCAGATGCAGGCATCGTTAGCTCTTTGAAGTGGCTGTTCACAGCAAGACAGTGGCCATGCTGAAGTCTGACTAGGTCAGCCTCTCACAGACTCTCTGAGGTCTGCAGGGCTGTGCATACAATCTGAGCCGTACTGAAAGGCCAAGGACTTCAGCTTTCTGTAATGGGGACAAATCACAAAGGGCATGTATTTCATGCAACGAAATGCACAGAAGCCTCACAAAACAGACGCGCATCCC